GTTCGCAAACCGAGGTAAATTTTTGCGGCCGGAGCTGGTCGTAACCCAAAAAGTTTGTTAAGAGAGGTGTTCGTAACCCGAGGTACCACTGTATATAGTTGGGAGTATTCTTATATCTATCACTGTTGCGAGATGCCCAGGTGACCTCATCAGCTAAGAGCACCTACTGTCATCTCAGATTCACATAGCAGCTCTGACCCTATTTGCATAGCAAGAGCCCAGCTTATGTGCTGTGTTAACCTCTTGGCTGGATTATTGCAAACATTTTATGGGAGGATGTCTCTGAAGCTGGCTCAGAAAGTTTAGTTAGCCTAAAACAGAGCTGCAGCTAGGACTGGCAGATAATATGATGCTAATGTTTTATGAGCTGCAGAAGTGTTATTCCATACCTTATTGGAAATGTTGGTGCTGCTTGTTGAAGCCTTGGATGGCTTGGGTCCAGCGTATCCCAAGGAACATCTTACTTCCTCCCATATTGAAGTTGGGCAGGAAGCTACAGAGAAGGAGCCTTCTCAGCCATGACACATTGTTTATAAAATGCTCTTTCTATGGAGGCATGTCTTGCATCCACTTGGCTATTTTATTGGTTCCAGGCCAAGACCTTCCTCTTCTTTAAGTCCTTTTAATTTTGACTGTCTGCCCTGTACTGGAATAATGGCTTTTATATGGATGATAATATCTTGCTAGTGCTGTTTATGCATGGTATTTTACTGTTTTTATTAATTTTTTCTGATTGTACTTATTTTTAGCAACCTGCCCACAGAACTCTCATTGTTGGAGAAATAATAATAATACTAATAATAATAATAATAACAACAACAACAACAACAATACAACTCTGATGTTCAGGTTGAGCATGTATGTTTTTTTGAACAGCAGAATCTTGAACTGGAAAGAGTTAAATTGATAGACAAATGCCACTCAGCTTATACTTGGTGAAACTGTCATTTTAAACCTAAAAGAAAATGCCTTTGCCAGCAATATTGCTAGCAATAATATTTCACCAACAACCAGGACTCTAAGTGGGCTCTAAATCTTACATTCTTATTCTTAATGATGTTTTTCACTTTTCTTTCTACTCAGAGGACAATGAGAATTCAAAGTCAGATGAAAAAGGAAACCATTCGGAAAACAGCGAAGATCCTGAATCCGATAGGAAGAAGTCTGGCAATCAGTCAGATAATGAAATGAACTGTAATGATGATGGGAACAGCTCCAGCAACCAGGACAGCAGAGACAGTGATGACAGCTTTGAGAATTCTGACTTTGAGAATCAAAAGGCCCCTGAAGATAGCTTTGGCACTCTTGGTTCTATGCAGATTAAGGTGGAGCGCTACGTGGAGAGTGAGTCAGACTTGCGGCTACAGAACTGTGAGTCATTGACCTCGGACAGTGCCAAGGACTCAGACAGTGCAGGAGAAGTAAATGCCCAGTCTTCCAGCAAACATCAAAAAAGGAAGAAGAGAAGGAAAAAGCAGAAAGGAGGCAGCATGACCCGGAGAAGGCTCTCAAGCACCTCAAGTCCAAATGGGCTTGACTCAGCATTGGTGGATCAGCCCCAGCTGCTCTCACCGCCAAACAGTGCCTCAGTGCTCAAAATCAAAACAGAGATCTCAGAACCTATCAATTTTGATAATGATAGCAGTATTTGGAATTACCCACCCAACAGGGAAATCTCAAGGAATGAATCACCTTACAGTATGACCAAGCCCCCCAACTCAGAGCACTTCCCTTCCCCGCAAACCAGCAGTAGTTTACATGTCTCCATTCCAGACTCTGTTCTAACCCCACCAGGGACTGAAAATACTGCCAATCGCAAATCTCAGTTCAGCACCTCATCCAACTCCGCCTTGGCTCCTGTTTCCTCTGACCCTTTGTCACCACCTCTGTCAGCGTCTCCACGGGACAAGCATCCGGGAGGCCCCAGCACTTCCAATTCTTTATTGTATACTGGGGATCTGGAAGCCCTACAGAGATTGCAAGCAGGCAACGTGGTCCTTCCTTTGGTTCACAGGGTAACTGGAACCCTTGCTGCCACCAGCACGGCTGCTCAGAGGGTCTATACCACTGGCACTATCCGGTATGCCCCAGCTGAAGTTACTTTAGCCATGCAGGGCAATCTCCTCCCCAACACTCACGCTGTTAACTTTGTGGACGTTAACAGCCCTGGTTTTGGCTTAGATCCTAAAACACCAATGGAAATGCTCTACCACCACGTCCACCGACTCAATATGTCAGGACCGTTTGGAAGTGCTGTGAGCGCAGCCAGCCTGACCCAAATGCCTGCAGGGAATGTGTTCACAACTGCCGAAGGACTGTTCTCGACTCTTCCGTTTCCTGTGTACAGCAACGGCATTCATGCCGCACAGACACTGGAACGGAAGGAGGATTGAAATATGACCACATACTGTGTTCAGTGTTAAACTCCGAGGCATAGACTATATTTTAATTTAGACCTTTAATCCTAGCACTTTGAATTTGAGCAGGTCAGCTTATTCTCTCCATGTGATGCTCCCCATTTCATTCCCTTTCTCTTTAACTTGACTTATTCTTTAATGGGAAAGATACTTTTAATTTTGGCCTTCAGAGAACTGAAGTAGCAGTTGCCTGCCATTTTGTCTTCTTCCAAGATGTGTATTTTTTTCTTTGCATCTTTATTAAGATGCCTTTAATATGTGTATGCCTCTGCCATAGAATACTCAGTGTTGTGGTAAAGAGATTGTAAGAGTGACAACCACGGGGTTTACTTCAAATTGATCTTGATATGATCAAGATTAAAAGAAACAAGCATAAAACAATGTGCCCTGTTTGACTAAGTCAAATGAAAAGGGGGTATTTGTTCCTAATTCCTTTAAAAAAAATAGGGGATAGTATTTTAGAATTTTATGCAGAGTTTAATTCACTTTTTATGGTTAAGATTTTCTTACTTGCACATACAATAATTTGGGTTCTTAAAAAATTAATTTCTGGCCTGTGATTAGAATAATAAGAAGATGGACTAAATGTTAACTACAGAAACATTAACTTAATTTCTAAAACCATGGTGCTATCATTTATTAATCTGTAATGTCTTCACACAATATGCAGCTTCTGGGCTGGGTTTTTTGAAAGGAATGTCTTCTGTGCTAGTCCATAGTCAGGTGCTGCAGTCTCCTTGGTTAGTTAAGACAAAAGCCCTCATTAACATTTGCTGCAGGACTTAATTTGTTTACCTCCAAACTAACAAGCCTCATATTAAATTTAAATGGATCTGGAAGACTTTTCTTTTGGGGAGTGGGGCGAATGTGCTAAAAAGAACAAGAAAATGCAGTGAAATTGAATCAAAGACCAGATTTTTTAAAGGTGTATATTGTTTCTCTTTCTATTTTTTTATTCTCAGTAGAACTGAGGCTAATTTTACAACTTCCAAATAAGTGAGTGTGTGTGTGTGTTTGTATGTGTGTACATATGTGTGTGTGTATGTGTGATTGTGTGTGTGTGTGTGTATATATGTATATGTGTGTGTGTGTGTGTGTGTGTGTGTATATATATATGTATATATATATATATGTATGC